CAATGGGGGACTCTGGGCGACTTACAAAAAACATTAAAACTATAAATATATATAAAATACACAATACATCTAGAATTAAGAACAATACTAAAAAAGGAAAATCCAAGAAGATGGAAAATTGGGCTGGGATGGGGCTAGCCATCTCCCTGCTTGAAGTATTCCCTCCCCACCCCAGGCCAAGAGACAGAAATATGTATATCTCTTGGCCCAATTCATCAATGAAATTCCAGCATCTAATCACCCAGTTTCCCAAAGACAAGCTCCTCCCTCTGCCCCATTCATGGAATACTCTACGTTCTGCCATGGACTTTCCTCCCTTGAACAATAACAAGAATTACCGTGCATTTCCTGCCCAAAAGATCGAATACTTGCTGGTTCTCAAGATCCTCAAGGAGGCAGGAAGGCACATTTTCCTGCTGCCCTCGGCCTCCGGGCTTGGCTCTTCGGCTCATCTCAGCCCTGTCAAGTTGGGAAGGGCTCTTACAGAGTGAACTTCCGTGTTGTAAAGGCTTCTTTTAACAGGAAGTTAAAAAACCACCAGGCTCACCCAGAGATAGTTGGGTTCTCTATCTTGCTTCAAATGCCCAGCAACCCTGAAGGCTGAGCAAAACTGAAGTACAAAGAGAAGCCAGAGCAGATTAGGTGGATGAAGGATCCTGAAAATGCCCATCCCTCTAAGGAATAAAAGCATTTGGTCCACAAAAATGCCTATGTTGCCCTTAAAAGATACAGATTGCTCACACACAAATTCTATAGTTTCTGAATATATGTATTTATTTCCCATAAACAGAATATAAATGTTGTGATTTTTTTCTGATTAGAATTTGACAGGGGAGAGCATTTAATTTGCCTTCAGAAGGTTCTACAGTACTTTCAACCCTCACACCTCCAAGACTGGAAATTTGGTTTTAAACTTTGAAGAACTGCTGCTAATCCATACTGGCAACCTTGGGATAGGTTAACACTCCCTGGTCTGGGTGGCAAACATTTGGACATCCGCCAGAAGGCAGCAAAGAGATAGTTCTGTTCTGGATCTTTGCTGTCATCTAATAGTCATCTGGACGTTTGTAGCCGAGTTTTGGTAGCCCTTAGCAAGATAGAAAAGGAAAGGAAAGGCAGATAAAGAAAGTGACCATCCAATCACATAAAGGGCCTTGCAGCTCTGCAGTTGACCTAAGCTTCTTGAAGCTCAAGAAGAGGGTTTTCAGATCTACTTCTTTCACCATGAAATAATTAAAACAATTGAAATTCTGCTTCTCAAGACCAGGTATCAGTAGCACAGGACAATGGCTTGTACTGTAGGACTGTGCAGACAATTACTAATTACTAAAAAATGGCATGTATCCTCCTCATTCAGATTGAATAACAAGCCTCTGTAGTGGTGGTGGGGTTACAAAGCAGCCAGTGAGCAGAGCACAGCCCTTCCAGAAGAAGAGTGTGCACTGGCTTGAACCTCAGATGAAAGAATAACAGAAGAGGTCATCCTAGTAACCCCATGAACAAAGGACATAAATCAAGGATAGGCTGCATTGGTGCCCTCCTGATTTAACTTCAGTTCTCAGCAATCCTTAGTGGAGAGGTTGATTGGAGCTGTACTCCAAAACATCTGGAAGACATCAGGTTGCCTACCTCTTCTGTCAATGCTACAACCACTCAATTGCAAGGGTCCCAGTCTTCTGCAGCGGGGGGTGGGGTATTGGAAAGATCAACAGTGTGTTCCTGGTACAACTCTCTCTTACATTAGGGAGCTTGCCCATATACCAAATGTCTGCCAAGGTGGGGGCATAGGGAGTCTGAAAGTATTCTATTTTTCAATTGTCCTAATTGTTGGGACAATAATGGTTTTTGATGGATATTCTTGCTTGAAAATGGCACCCTAATAAAAATAAAATAAAATCTTAGGCTGACATCTGGATCCTGAGTGGCTGATGTCATGACATCAGGGTGGTAGCAGGAAGATTGGCATTTCTGCAATTACTGTTTCTTTAAGGAAACATAGATGTGACAGTGTATTATAGAAGGGCTGACCATAAAGAACCAGATGACATGGTGCAACCCAGAATTTGATGATCAATGGCTGTAGAGAAATCAAGGTCTTTCCCAACATTGCTTATTGCTTCCCACCTGAGCAATACTGATAGAGAACAGAATGCTTATGTCCAATTATTTTTGTTAGAAATATGTGATCTATCTGTTTTGGAAAAGGCAGTATTTTCTATTAATCAAAGGATGCAACAATATGTTATTATGGCAGAGATT